ACTGAAACGGGATTATTCGTTGAACCTGACTCACCACAGTTTAACGTACATTCTGATGATGACGAGGATGACGTTCTGATAAATACAAAACCAGCCGAACTTCCTGCACATATGTATGAGGCTGATTATGATGCAATGTATGAGCCTGAATTTCCAGATCTTCCTGATGTTGGCAACTATGGACTTCAATCATCAGTCAATGACGATAATTTACATATTGGAATGGAGTTCGCATCGAAGGAGGAAGCAATGATGGCAATAAAGAGTTACAATATTCGTAACTCAGTTCAGTCCCGAGTTGATCGATCTAACACGGAGAAATATGTCTGCTACTGCGTCCAACGTGACAACGGATGTCAATGGATGGTCCGTGTATCAAAGAGGAAGAACAACTTATGGGAACTAACCAGATACAACGGTCCTCATACATGTTGTGCAACAGGTATAAACCAGGATCATCCCAACTTGGACTCCAACATTATTTGTCAAGCAATCATGCCCATTGTGAAGCAAAGCTCTCATATAGCTGTTGCAGTGTTGATTTCTGCTATACAGTCACAATATGGGTACACTGTCTCATATAAAAAAGCGTGGTTGGCAAAACAGAATGCCATTTGCAAACTTCATGGCGAATGGGATTCCTCTTACAACGAGCTGCCCAGTTGGTTTCATGTTGTGCAAAGACTTAATCCCGGGATAATTGTTGAGTTCGAAACTCAACATCATTACGTGAATGATCGAATGGTTCGCGATCGCTGCCAATTTTACCGAGTCTTTTGGACTTACCCTCAGTGTATTAATGCAGTCAAGTACTGTAAACCAATTGTCCAAATTGATGGTACTTTCTTGTATGGGAAATACAAGCAAGTTTTATTATTGGCTGTGGTCCAAGATAGAAACCGCAATATTCTTCATGTTGCTTTTGCCCTCGTTCAAGGAGAAGACACTGAGTCTTGGGCTTTTTTCCTTAAAAAATTACGTTTACATGTTGTCACCAGGGAACGAGTATGCATTATTTCAGACCGAGGAGCCGGGATAAAAGCAGCAATGGACTCTTTGGGTACAATGTATAGACCTCCACATGTTCAACATCGTTATTGTGTCCGTCATATTGCTGCAAACTATTACGGAAAATACAAGAAGAACGATGAACGTCAGTTAGTCGTGCGGATGTGTATGTTACTTTTTCCCAATTTTTCTATCAATTTCTTATTACTTATTTATACTTCATATTAACTATTACATATTCCTAATGGCTTAGGTTACGAACTCTTACCTCAAAGGTTTGAGTCGATGCTACAAGAGTTGTTTGGCAAAAATAAGAAGTGGTGCGAGTACATTATGGACATCAGCAAAGAAATGTGGAAAAATGCATATGACGGGGGGTATCGCTATGGTCATATGACAACAAACTTGGCTGAAGCAATAAATTCAACCTTAAAGGGGGCACGTCATTTACCAGTCACGGCGTTGGTTAAAACAACTTATTTTCGTTTGGGTCAACTCTTTGCAAAGCTCGGTGGACAAGCTCTTACTTGGATGCAAAACGGACATATTTACCACCCAAGACTAGTAGTTGATTTACAGAAAAAAGTGGTTGCATCAAATGGGATGTTAGTTACAAATTTTTCTCCCACCCGTGAATTGTTTCGTGTAACCGAAATGCCACGTCCACTGCAAGGGATTGAAGCTAACTCTTTCAGAGTTAATCTGCAAGAGAGGTGGTGCGATTGTGGTTTCTTTCAAGCACTCAAATATCCATGCTCTCATGTCATTGCTGCTTGCTCACATTCGCATTTGGACTACAAAAATTATGTTGATCCCGTATACCAACTTTCACAAGTATTCAAGGTATATGAATTTGAGTTTCCGCCCATAGGAAACGAAAGAGACCCAAATGAGATTCAAACTTGGCTTACAATTGTACCAGATTCATTGCTATTGAGGGACTCAGGTCGTCCAAAATCTACTAGAATACATTGTGATATGGATATTCGGGAGAAGTCAACAGAACAAAAACGATGTGGGCATTGTAGAAACATCGGGCACAATAGAAAAAAATGTCCAACTCTGTTATCATCATATAACCGTTAACTCTTATGTAATTAATATTGTATTTAAATGAATGTTTTTGTTTCTAATAATTTAATGTTATTGCATTTATATAATTTGTCAATGTATGTACACCTAAATAATTTTTTTAACTTTTAAATACATAAATATATTTAATATATTTATTTAATATAATAATTAATATTATTAGTTATAATTTTTTTAAAATATAATAATAATTCCACCTTCTAAGTAGAGAAAAATATTAAATTAAACAAATTAAAAGTTATTAAAAAATTTATGTATACGATGACACATTTCATGTTCTGATTGGAGGATTAAATTTATTAAATTAAATTTTCAATAAGACTAATTTTATAAAATATGTAAGTCTTGAAGATTAAATATGTAATTATACTAATTTATTAATTTATGCATCAATATTTTCGTTAAATATTGATATGAGATGACTAGATTGATAACATTTAAATAATTAACTGATAAAATTAATAGATCGATAATCAAAATCAAAAATAATAATATAACCATATGTGTAATATTATAATTTCATACATTTTTCCTATAACTACAATAAAGTCAAAACTGGTTTTCATATATTGTTATATCATATTAATGTAGATAATTCACTCCACCTTTAACACACATTAACAAAATACATTTGATAATTCTTACATTATAATCGAAACATTTTACATAATATATTATTAATTTATAATAATAATAAAAATAAACTATTTATTATTAAACAAAATACGTGTCTGCTGAGTTGGCAAAGGCGCGTCCCCGGGGATGCGCCTTCCACACGTGGCATCCAACTCGACGAAAACACGGGTAAAGCGCGTCTCCGGAGACGCGCCTTTGCCAACTCAGCAGAAAGTGTGCTACTTCGAGAAATATTGTGTCAAATCCCCTAGAAAGATGGAATCTTGGGTTTCAAGTAATAAAAAAAAATCTTGCGACGCACCCAAAAATGGGGTAATCCCAAATTTTGATCCAAAAAGAAAAGAAAAAAGAGATTATGTTTCCTCGATTTCTCGTGACGCAATGGCCGTCGCGATCTAGTGGAGAACCCACAAGTAAGGTTGATTCGTTAATGGTGGTTGTTAAGTTGGTTAAAAGGGGCACCTAATCAAATGCAACATTGAAGCATCAACTACGACATCTCAACAAAGTTATGGCTGCATCATCATCGTTCATTATTGTTATTATTTAGTGTTTTTGGCCAATGGTTTGAGAAGGTGACACACTCGCTTGTTAGTTGCTTCTAGGGCCAGGATATGACCCCATGGTTATACAAGTAAGGATGTGTATTTCACTTTAATTTGATGGGTTCTAATCTTACCTAATCTTATAGAGTAGTTTTATTCTTTAAATTTTCGAGTTTCAATTGGGTCGGGTTTAAGTTTAAGGTATAACTCGGTTTAACTTGATGTAAGACGATATTATAATTATCTATTATATATATAGTTTTAATTACAATAATATATATCTATATTATTATTTAACTAAATCTTTATTTTACCTAATATATATATATATATTTATTTATTTATTTATATCGAATTATGTTACATCATATTTTTATCTCAAAAATCATATCTAAATTCATATCAAATACGAGCCTCATAAACATGTTTGCACTACTGTACTTATTATAAATTTGATGAGTCGATCAAGATTTTTTTCAGATTAAAGGACTGATGGGTGTATAATGCAATCAATACTATAAAAAGAAAATCAAATTTGGATAATAAAAATCCAAAATCCAAGCAAACACACCTCAGCATAAATGTGCTACCAAACACTCTCGGGCCCCTCCCCTCTACAGGTCAATTAGTATTATTTTTAATTTCTTTTAAAGGCACAGCTGGTTTAAGGAGTGGGTAAAATTCATCACCAAACACTTTGTCTTGGCTTCAATATTGCATTAGAATTGGCCTAATAAGACATTAATTTAGGGGACAAATTAACCTACCTACATGGGTTCTTGCTGCCTGACATGTCCTTTTTAGATACCTCCTATCCTGTACAGTACCCATTGAGGCAACCTTGGTCTTCTTTGTAAATTGGTATATAATTTTATTCTAATAAGACGATAATTAATCATTAAGTTAAATCATGATTATATGCGAGAATCAATTTTATTTTTTATAGGATAGGGTAAACCACCCTGTATAATCACCTACCAATTAATAATTTCTACTTTAGTTTATCAACTATTTTAAAAAAAAAAATCATATCTAACATTACGTTCTATTTCTATTTTGTCCATTTAATATTAGAAAGATATTAATACTAACATGTCATTTTTAATTGTTTTCAATACTAATATGACATTACCTTATGGTATCACGTTAATATCACTATTATTTTTTTTAACAACTAACCAAAATAGAAACAAAACATAACATTAAGTATAATTTAAAAAAAATAATAGTTAGTTTACAAAAACAATATAAATTTATAGGATGTCTAAATCAAGGTAGTTGTAGTAGGGATACATAGTGGACAAAGTGTAATTGTGTTTTTTTAATGATTCCAAATCATATAAGTATAGAATTAGGCCAACTAACAATATAATTACTATATTTGTACACGCATATAGAGAGAGAAGAAGCATTAAAATTCTCAAAGCACATGGGCCATTCACCACCAACTCCATGTGCATGGATAACCAACTGCCCTCCTACTGTTTTTCTCCCTATGGTATCCCATTAAATTCTATTCAATTCAACATCATTGTATCTGGCACTGTCCTGAGATGCCGTGCCCCCCACTTTGTTCCCTCCCTTCTACCAATTAGCCCTGCAAATCCAATCAATTCCTTACACATAAACATCATTCTTATGTTGGTTGGTCAATCATTTTTCCTCACGCAATACCCCATTATGATGTCTTTTTCCCCTTTAATCACCTAAAGTTTATGGTTACTTTACCATGTACCTGGATTTGGGATCACATAATAATTTTGTTCAATGGAATAAAACTGGCTTATATTGCATCCAACTTACGCCTACATAACCTTCAGCCCAAAAAAATCATAAGTTAAACAGTTGTTGGAACTTATAAAACAGGAATTAGCCTGCATGGTCAACTCTGCAACATGCTATGGAGCTATGGAGTACTTAAATCAATATATAGGTTAATCGGTTTCCCATCGCCGAGTCCAACTGAATTCCAGAGTTTTCTCCTGCTCAACTTTCCTTCTTTTTGAATCCGGATGTTTGTTTCTTTGAAGAGATGTGTCTTGTTTCATGGTAGATTCTTTCCTGAAAAGTGATGAACGGATTTTTAAAGTATAGGAAAAGGAGGACGAGAGTTACAAATCACCGACGATGACAAAAAATAATTATGATTTACCTCTTCTCTGAGCCAGCCATTTTAGATGCACCATTTTTTAATTTGGAACCCATTTCCCCTGGCATTTACAACATAATTATCAATGACGCGATATTGCATAGATATGCAAGTGGCTTGAGTAGAGATGGTTTATAAATCAAACACCTGCAACTGCATTAAGAAATCTTATGCCTTGGGAGTGTCTGTTTGTTGTCACCTTATCTCCATTGCTGTTCATTCGAGTACATTTCAAATTGATCAGTTGATTCTCCTCTTTGTTATAATATCTCTAAATGGGCTTCTAGTTGCATAAGAGATATAATTGATGCTACCAGTCACATACCTTAGTGCCCGTTTGAGTGCCTCTACAGACAGTAGTTTAGCCGGCTTAGAGGGCTTTTTCGAGTCTGTTCTATCAGATAGAGGATCAACCATGTATATCCCTTCTGATCTAGGAGGATTTCTAAATGCTGTTCTCAAGTTTCTGCAAGAGGAAAACAATGCCACTCATGAAAATTATAAAAGTAATGGATTGAACCATTTAACTTGACAACAAAAGGATACAAAAATGAAAAGGATCATCGATCACACACCCTCCCATTAGCTCAGTTCGCTTTGTGGAATATTTTTCTGATGCTTTCTACGTGACATAACAGAAAAGAGTTATCTAGGGATGAATTACATCCTACTCCAGTGGTGTTGGTAAAACAAGACAAAGATAAAAGTAATGTCATGCTTACCGATTTGTGATATTGGCAGTAAGCACCTTTACGTCTGAAATAACATAACACATTAAAAGTAGATTCAGAAAGAGATACACTACACAGACAAACATACAAACATACAAAGAAAACTGGATAGCATGGCGCCTCTATATTCAAATGGTTAGAAAGTTGTTTAACAAGCTGCATGATAAAACATAAGATACCAAATTGCATTGGATGAACAAACATAAGAATGAAAGTTCATGACACAGCTATTTTTGTATCAAAGATTCTCAAACGTTCTTTGCTTCTTGCTTAACTACATAATTCATCAATCCACACTGCAAACATTCAGCACATTACCATGCAGTGCAAAGAAACTTCAAACAAGGTAAATATCAATATGGCAAGCATAAGTGGAGAGATAGACCACAATCATTCATTCAGAGAGCTTACTAACATCTTTCTGAGAAGCTTGTTGTTCTTATATTACATCACTCAGATCATTCTATTACGCATACCATTTAGTTCAAACTAGATGTCTGTCTCGATCCCATTTCTAGAGTCTAGACCATGAAAAGTATACAGGGCCCATTGAGCAAAGACAGAATATATCGAAAGAGCCTTAATGAATAGATGTAGCATACTTATTTACAATGACCGTACAAGCTATCCCATCCTTTCTTTTTCCGTTACAAACTCCATAGTCAGCTGAAGTGCCGATCTTTAGCATTTGGTTGGATGCAGTAGCACTCAAGGAAAATCCCAATCCCTACAAAATGATACAGAAGATATTACTTTCTTCATGAAGCGTACCCAACATAAGCCAATCAAAACATGACAAAGATGATACCTTGGGGTCTTTACGAACACTGCAACTGAACAATGCAAAAACTGCTCCAACCTGCTCTTTACAATTCTGCTCATAAGCGTCACCGAACAAGAAAAGAGAAATGGTATTTTCATCCAAGCACCCAATTTTCCATATGCTATAGCTCTTCCCAATGGAACTCGTCTTCGGGGTACCCTTTTCAGTCAACACTCCTATGGTTGCCCAACAACCATAAAGGGTGTCTCCCATCAACAAATTCCTGTAAAACTCCAAATATATATATCTAGTAATCTACCTCATGAAGTTTATGTATAGTTATACGCTTCATTCAGGCCTTTGCAAGTAATAATCTAGGTAAGCCAAACTTAAAGGGAACTTAACATCCAAAAACAATAAAATACCTAGCAATAAAAGCATAATTTACAAGGAAAAGTAAAATTACATACTTTATAGTAGATAATCGAACAAAACGAATATCAGACAAACGCTCGCTAAGCTCCGCAGGACTGATCAATTGCTTCCTAATAAACAGAAGAAAAGATACCAGTCAAGGCTTTTCTATTTGTCACTTGGCTCATGATTTTCCCTACAATAATCAGAATAGTCAACCAAATCAATGTCAGCTGGAACTTGGATTTACCTTATACGCAAACCTGAAAATTTCTCAACTTGAATATCATTTGAACTCAGTGGCTTCGACTTGGCATGTTTCTCAACTGGTTTGGGTTCATAATCAAGGCAATCTTCCACAAAATTTTTAAAAACAGACAAGTCTGATTTCCCTCTCTGCCTAGACGATCCATCATCTGATAGGTACCCTACAAATTTAGACCCAAACAAACTTGTGAGAATAAACCGAGGGATACCCATTATCAGATTCGAAAGCAAGAACAAAAATAACCAAAACCCACATGTGAAAACTATAAACAAAATTGAACACAAATAAAAAGGTAAACAGAAGGGCTTTTCAATGAGCGAAGCCGGAAGAAAGCTAAAGCGACGATTAGAGAAGATATGAGAAAATGTTAACCTGGAGAATGAGAATGGGGGTTTGAAGGGGAAGCAGGAGGAGTTTCCAAAACCCTTTCTTGAAGAGAGAGAAGGAGGTCGAGATCGTCTTCATGGCTTGTCATTGGTAGTGTTGTTTAAGTGAAAGGGATTTAGACTACAGGGAGACAGTTCTGAAGCTCTCTGTTATCAGATTAAATGAGATTAATGAAAGAGAAAAGGAGGGTTTTTTCATAGATAAATTGGAGGGAGACTAGAAATATGTTTTGGAGGGAACCAAAGAAGTTCGCGGCTTGGCCGAAACTTCAACTAGCCGAATCCAAATTTTAGCGTTTTGCTCATAAATATTACGAAGTTCAATTTGATACTTCATTTTGGGTAAACTACATATTTAGTACCTAAACTACTTGTTTTGACCCATTTAATATCTAAACTCAATTTTTTCAAAATTATACCTAAAGTTTAGTTTTTGTTTCACTTTAGTACCCCACCGCTAAAAATTTTAATTTTTGTTTTATTTTAATATGACGTTCAAAATTTAATAATAAGTTTTGAAAAACTTAAAGTTAAGGTATTAAAATGGAACAAAACTGATAGTTTAGGTACTAAATATGTTAAGTTTTTAACGATGAGTTACTAAATGAAATGAAACTAAACGTTAGATATGGTTTTAAAAAAATTTGAATGTTTAGGTACTAAAACGAATCAAAATTGATAGTTTTAGTACTAAATATATAGTTTACCTTCTTTTTTAGGGTTAAATAGGTATTTAAATTTACTTTATGGTTTCAAGGTAAAGTACATAAAATGGTATTGGATTATTACAATTGCTTTATTGAATCTCTTGACTATTGAAAGCTACAAATAATCACTTGATTATAGGGTGTTGCTTTGTTGAGTCCTCTGATTATTTAAAATTACAAAATGGTCATTCGAGTACTCATATGTTTCAAACTGTCATTTTTTTGTTGAAAATTTGACGACAATATGAGATGAACATTAACCTATTGACTAAGGTATAATAAAATATGATCTCAGAATCTCAAATAACAATACAACTAAAGCGGTTCTGGCATTATATTTTGTCATATCTCAATTAGCGTGTTAACGTTCAACTTAGACAACTGTCAATTTTTAAACGAAAAATGACAACTGTAACAACCCAATTATTGTAATTATTGAGGGTCACTCAATAAGAGATATTTTTTTTAAGTAAAGATAATGACAATAGGGTTGGAATCCATTGCTTTTCAGCTTAGAGGAAATTTTATATTATTTCCTGTCATAGAGTGTATATACGTAATGGAGCAAAACATTGTAGTACTGATCATTTTGAAACCAAAGATAAAAACCTCGACCTGTTCACACTTGATTTTTCTTTTTACTGTCTGTCGGTCATGGAAGAACTAATAATCTCACCATCTTCATCTTCTTTATTAGTTTCCTTTTTCAAATGAACTCCACATCTGATTCTCCAGCAGAGGCTTCAACATGTAATTGAAAGACAACTGGATTGATGGGCATACGCTATTTTTTTATAGAGCAAGCGTTGAACGATGGCCAGGTCGGTTGTTTTGGCTTGGGGAGATGATCATTTTCAAGACACCAAAGATACGTCCCCGAAATTATGTGCCAACAAAAGTTCATACATTCAGGGGTTACAAGATGAACGAAGAAAGGTGATGGAAGGAATCCAAGACCTCGTCAGAGATAACCACGACATCGATATGTCGATGATCGATGGGACGGATATCAGTGATGCTGAATGGTTCTACATGTTGTCTTTGACACGGAGTTTCTCTGCCGGCGAAGGGATCCGGGAAAGTCTCTTACGACCGGCTCTTTGGTGTGGTTAACCGATGCCCGCGAGTTGCAGTTTTATAATTGTGAAAGGGCTAAAGAAACACAGTTGAATGGCGATCGATGAAGGTGGTCGGCGTGGTGGTTACCAACAATCAGCGGTGGTCAGAGATCGGTTGAATGAGCAGCTTGCTTGTTAGCTTTTTGGAGAGGAGAACGAAACAATGTGGGAAAATAAGAAATGAAAATTTGGTTCAGAGAGCACGTGGGTTTTGAAAATATTGATAAAGTGAAAAGAAAATAGAAAATCACAAGGTGAGTCATCCAAGTTTTGTGAGATCTTTACCTTGTTTATTAGTTTCCAAGTGGTTATAGTTATGACATAATAGCTTCTATAAGATCAATTTAGTCCCTAATTTAAGTAATTAAATATTTTGATGGCATCATTAGTTTTTAGTTTTACCAATTGAGTCTTCAAATTATTATTTAAATTCTAATAAGCTAACTTTATGGCGAGGAAAATTATTTAGATACGAGTTAGTAATTTTGATGGCATGGATCGTGAGGAAATTATTGGAAGTTGATTTCAAGATCGAGGACGTTTGAATGGAAATTAAATGGTCAGTCAGTATGACACGAAAATCGAGATAATACTTTACTACCTCTTTATGTTTTATGGAACATGTTGATATTGGTAAATGCATGAATAAGATAATGTTGGTCACTTCTGTGGAGTTGATTAATTTATACACTCGATATGAATGTGGTAGAAATTCGATAACTGAATACGGATCGAATGACTAATATAAGAGATTGAGGGATTGTTAGAATTAAATTACAAGTTTGTGATTAGTGATAAAGAAATCAGCCATGGATTTGTAACTTATATTTTATATCATCAAATGTTAAATGTTAAAGGTACTTGAATGAGAAATTATGAGAATACTCTGATATGGTAAAATTACAAAAATACCCTTATGTTGTAGGATGACAAGAATTGTACCTATAATTTGGTTAATAACTCTAAAAAGACATATTGATCCGATATAATTACAGATGCGCATAAGAAATGATAGTTTTGTTTAGAAAATTTGAATAACTGGTTTTTAACGCCAACAAGGGTTTGCGCAAGATATTATAAGTTTGTTAAGGAATAATTTCAAGATCAAAGAATGTTCGGGAAAGCAATTGACCATAGGATCTTTAAATTAAAATTATTTTCGTTAAGAGCTAATATCAAAATTATCTGATTAGGAAATTATGAAAATGCCCCTGAGAGGTAAAATAGTCCGAGTTGACCCTGAATGAGAAAGTACTTTGATGATTTGTATTTAACTTGATTAAGTACGAATTTTATTGTTAAGATCCTGAGTTAGTGCAAAAAATTCTTAATATTTCGTTGGTAAAAATCTGAGAAGACATTTGACCTGAAAATATCTGATTTACGAGTAAATACCTGAAGAACAATTTATCGGGGTGCTCTTTTATCAGAATTGTTCAAAGAGACTGAAATAGATGATAAATTAGAATTAAACAATAAGATAGGATGGAAGAAAATGATTGAAATACATTAGATCTGTAGAATTACTAGATTACCCTTGTAATGGAAATGACCCAAGAATATCACCAAGCTCATGAATTATTGGATATCTTCGAGCTCTGAAATGAATGGAATAAAACTGAGCACCAGAATTACCAAAATACCCTTATGGCCTAGACTAAGTAAATGTTTTGGATTAATTAAGGAATCCAAGTAAATATGGGTATTGTATTACCCTTAAAAGTTATGGATCACAAATTAAGTGAGTTGATCAACCTTAATGATATGTCAGTACCTGATCTGCACGGATATTACTTGAATGAGTGTTCATCTATTCAAGTTTGGCTCGATGATAATTTTTGGAAGTATCCAGCTCAACTCAACTCTAGATCGCGTTAAGCACTAAGAATTGGATATTTGTTCGATAAATCAACCACGAAGACCGAACTGAACATAAGTACAATATGTATCCGAAATTTAGAGACGTCCAAATTAATATGGAAAACTCTGAAGTAACTGGAATGGATTTGACTACCAAGTGAAATAAGTAACCTCAATGACTAAGAATTTAATAAGTGATTTGGATGAGTTTGGAGACATTAATGAACATACACGACGTATTGTTCTTATGGGTCATGAACTACAAATCAAGCACGTCAGCATTTCATGATATTATGGAAACGTGAAAATAAAATAAAGACATTGAAAGATCTATTCAGCGATGATTCCGAAGATGATCTCTGGACAAGAATTTTCGGTATTAAATAATAAATACCCTGGAAGGGTAATGGATTGACCAGTCGATAAGTATCAGTTATGGGAGTTGTTCAGCTCGAGTTGTTCGATATTCTGATAGATCGACACAAACCGTAAATGTTCTGAATCTTCGTTTCTCCCTTATCAGCTCAAGTTATATTCTGAATAACTGATGATTTCGTTAGTTATTGAACTATTCCTCTAGTGATTCTAAATTCCGACATTCTATCGGTAAGCTGAAGATCCTTGTTTCTCTACACAATAAGATTATCCAGTATCTCTGAAGAATATTTGATAAATATTCTGATCCTCTAGTGTGTTCCACATGTACTACATGACAGTTTTATATGTTTCAAATGAGTTTAACGAAAGTATTGATTTATTGGTTTATGAACCATGGCAACATGGTATGTGATCTCCGATTACGGTTTTCATCGAAAAGTATGAATTGTACATGATTTATGAAATAATGGAATTTACTGGTTTATGAATTATGGTTACCTGAAATATGTTATCTGGTTTCATGTTTTCACTGGAAAATATGAATTGTTCCTGATTTATGGAATCATGGAATTTAGTAGGTGTGTAAGTGGGTGTAAGGTTCTGTGGAACCTACACATTATGGAATGTTGGTTGGAGGGAATAATATGATTTTTGATAAACGTTTTATGGGATGGTGTTGTTGGAGGAAGTTATCGTTACTGCAGGCTCCTCTGCTTTGTGCTCAGGGTAAGTCCTTACTTGGTGTGTAGGTGGGTGTATGGTTCTGGGGAACCTACACATTATGGAGAGTTTGGTTGGAGGGATTAATATGGTTTTTGAATAAAAATATGTTTTTAAACTACTACTGTTTAAAAAGAAAATATTTGTATTTCTTCACTGGTTTTACGGGAACACACTAGATAACCTATTCTGATCTCCTGAACCTATACATTCGAAATATTTCCCGAACTAAACGCTTGCTATCTGTTACTACCTGAAATATCCATATGATCTCTGCTCAATATAAAGATCTGTAAATGTCTGAACTGATAAGGAAATATATGTTTATATGTATCTGCACGTTCTTCAACATCATCTGGTAGTTCTGTATTACCG